ACCCAGTCTGGCCTCAAACCACTGTTCTCCCATTCTCTGCCTCTAGAGTAGCTGGAATTACAGGCATGAGCCACCACACCCAGCCTGAGAAAAGGATTTTTAATAGAGGTTTTTGTTTCTTTTTGCTTTTGTCTTTGACTTTTTGAGACAAGTTCTCACTGTGTAAATCAGGCTGGCCTTAAACTCTTAATCCTTAATCCCCAGCCTTGAAGGTGCTAGGATTATAGATGTGTACCACCAAGCCCACTTCTTTAATGGAGCTTTTTAATTAAAGAAGAGACGTTGAAAGCTAATTGATTAGACAAGAGAAGGGCAGACTCGTGGGATGGAATCACAACTGACCCATGTGAGCCAATGGGTCTACAGCACCAAGGAGGACAGGCTTTAGAGGAAAACATTGGGTTCTCTGTGGAGTCTGTATAACAAGCTTACATTCATGACTGAATAAACAAAGACTGGGATACCCCTGCTGGATTAAATCCAGCAACCTCTCAGGTGCACCCCAGAGCATGCAAGAGCAGGGGACATCCCCAAAGGCACACACCGCGCCCAAAGTGCAGCAGGTGTGTGAGGCCAGGAGCTGCTGGGGTCTGATCCCATCCATGGGGTCCGGAGCTTTTACAAAAGCTTAGCAAGGCGGTGGCCCCAGCTCCCGCTCAGTGAAAAGAAGGCTCTGGATGTTGTACCGTGGGACAGAGCGACCTCTGCTAGACGCCGTCCCCATGGCAGCAGTGAGTCACCCCCTTTGCACATGCTCGGGACTGGGGTTGGCGCTGCTGCCCTCACCCCTCACTCCTGCTCAGGAGCCCATGCTTGCCCAAGGTCAGTGGCGCTCGTGGGGAATCTGATACAGGTGACTCGCTCTCGATCACACGGTGTCTTAGCCTCCTGGAATCTTTACAACAACTACACCATCTCCACCTCGCACTGGCTGCTGATTCCCAGTACAAAAAAATAAAATCAAATTAAACATCCTGAGCTGCTGAGGAGGGGCTTGATGGAGGCCCATCAACGAGTGAGTGGTGGTGGAGGTAGACGTTGGTCAAGGTCAGTCTGTCTACACTCGCTCACACTCACGCACACTGACACCTAAGAACCAGTGACCTCTCGTCAACTCACTTCAAACATCCTAATGGGGTCTGTTATCCCTGTGGGACTGAGGCCAGCGCAAGACTGTCCCTGGGGTTGTGTCACAGAGGATCCTGAAAGAAGCCAGGCACGCGGGTGGGCCTGAGCCTGATGAAGTCAGCCAAAATGACTCCAGCAAGCTGGCTAGCTGTCCCTGTCACCCAACGCCCGTTTGTTGCCATCAAATTCCAGACACCTGCAACAGAAACTATTAATATAATAATCATACGCTTCCCTGTTTTATTTGCAAATGTCACCTCACTGAGGCCTTCCTGGGTTACCCCAATCACTGCCCAGCACCCCCACCGCTCTCTGCTCAATCATCATCCTGGGCACTTGGCACCCCCCGGCACACCACTCCTGAATGACATCAGCTCCATGACGGCAGGCATTTTGTCTGCTGTGTTTCTGACGCCTAGTGTCTGGCAAGAGAAGACGGGCTGAGTAAATTAATGCATAATAAGAACGACAGCTCACATGCCTGCTCTATGGTCCTCACAGCAGCCCTGGAAGCAAGGAATGACAATTGTCCCCATTCTCCAGGTGAAGAAACTGAGTCCAGGGAGCTAACTTCCCAGCCCGTGCTGTTCACAAACACTTTCAGCCAGCTAGGTAACTGTCTTCTTTGGGGTGAGTCATATGTCATGACCCCTGCAGTTGGGCACCTGGCTCCCTTTGCTGTCCATCTGCACACGATGCTTCTTCTGCCCCCCAAGACACCGAAAGCACAGCCACAGAAGCCAGAAGAGACGCTTGCAGCTGCACATTTTGCACTAACTGCAGCGCAGCATCAGTTCCTTACTTTTGCAGACTTAGCTATGAAACTGGTCCAATAAGCCAAACTTGCTTTTGTTGAAAGAAGATAGACAAATGGGACTACGTCAAACTTCTGAATAGCAAAGGCAACAGCAGAGCAAAAAGTGGGGAAAAAATATGTATAAATCAAAGGGGTTGACACGCAGGACACCACAACGTGTGTCCCATGCTGGGACTTGCCCAGAGGGGCTCTGAGGCTGGTGGCAGCAGGCAGTCAGGAGATGCCCTGCCAGTTTCCATGGAGGGGCCAATGGCAGGCTCAGGAAGGCAGAGCCTAGCACTTGCCTTCCAGGAAAGTTAGGAGGACCCTGTGATCCACCTGTAGAGGACATCTGGCCACCCCCAGGTCTACCCACTCTGAGTGCCTGGGGGAGATGGGAAGCTGTGCAGAAAGTTATATGGCAGACAATGGGGAGGTCACGGTCAGTATAGCCCACCAGCCTGGTTTTAGCACCATGTCTTGGGAAAACCTGAGTCCCAGGCAAGCAGGGACAGTGGCAGCTCTAGGTTCTGAGCACGCCAATTGAGTTTCATGCCCTGGGCCTGAGTTCAGATCTGTTCAATGGTGGTGGCTGGTATTTATTCCCACTCAACTATGGCTACTTCCTACACTACCAAATTCTCTCATTCAGCTTTGCAACAACCTTAAGAACTGGACAGGAGATTGTCCCTGTTGCTGGGGAGGAAACTGAGGCTCCCAGAGGTTGTGTGCTGACCTGAGGTCTCATACCCAGTAAGTGGCTGAATGGGACAGCTGTCAACTCAAAGATGCATTTGAGCCTGTCTGAAACAGAGGCACAGCCTCACTTACCAAGATGGCTGTCGGCCAACAGGCAGTCGACAAAAGATGTCTTTTTGCACGCATGAGCAAACTCGATCATGTTTTTGTCACCTCTGCTGAGTTGTGTGTGTCTTCGGAACTAGTGTCCTGAACTTAACTACTGCTTGAAGTGTCCTCCAAGATGCTTGTGAGGACTCAGATGGAAGATGGCGAGTAACCAAGTGCCCAGAAAGGCCTGGAAACAGAGAGCAGGGGTTGACACTAACAAGGAGATCTCTGGATGGAGAAAGAACCAGCTCAGTGTTCTCACAAAGCAACAACTCCAAAAGGTGGATCCTCTTGTATGGATGAAGCTGGACCAAGGTTTACCACTGGGGTGATGGCAAGGACATCCGTGAGTGTCTATCAGAATCACCCAGAAGGACACAGATCGCTGGGGTCGCAGTGTCTGATTCCAGAGGTCTGGGTGTGGGCTGAGAATTCACCTTGGGAACTTGTCCCCAGGTAGGTCCCTGTGCCACTGGCTCAGGACCGCACTCCGAGAACCCAGCAGAGACAGCGAAGCAGCAGCCAAGTCCCCAGAAGCAGTGAGAGGGATTCATCGAGGGGCAAGCAGCCATGGTGCACGGTGGTTTGTCAATCTTTCCACAGATGTTAAACAAAAGCCACTAAACTTCCCACCAAATCATTGAGAAAAATGGACACCATAGACTAGCCCCAGTGCTGTCAGAACCCAGGCAGCGTTTAGCTGCATCCCTGATACTGTCATTGCAAAGGTGACAAACAGATGGAGGTCAGGAACCACCTGGGTTTCCTGCCAAGTGTCCATAAAGAGTGCACTCAATAAATATGAGAGAAAACATCTAACGAGTGTGAAAGCATGGATGCTTCATGGCAGCGGTTTTATCGTATGTAAAATAACGAGGTGTCTTTAATGGTGACATCTTAGAGTCAAAGGAATGTGGTGTCTTTGAAAAGAAATGCAAGTAGTGCAAATCCATGGTGAGGATAGTATGGCTTTAGGCAAAGCCAGAATAGGTAGTGGTGTTAGATCTGTGATGATTGAATTAGATAAAATCTGGAAATAAAATGCCAGAGATGACAGAGGTGAGTGAGTTTTGGAAAACAGTGTGACAGTGGCTTCTCAGCCTGCCACATTCACCCGGTGAACATGGTTGTATTTGCTCATTTGGAGCCAAATCTCCATGGGGCAAATGCCATTGCCATTTCCAAGCCCCAAACCATAAACTTAGTTAAAAAAAGAAAAAAGAATTCAAGACTGCTTCTCTTCTATAACGTTATTTCTTACCTGGCCCCTCTTTTGCCTTCTAGCTTTTTGTTGTTTGGAGGGGTTTTTTTTGTTTGGTTGGTTAGGTTTGTTGTTGTTGTTGTTGTTTTGGCAGTACTGGGGTTTGAACTCAAGGCCTCATGCTTGCCAGGCAGGCGCTCTACCACTTGTGCCACTCCGCCAGCCTATTTTGTTTTGCCTTGCTTTGCTTTTTTTTGCTTCAAACCTTGAATGAGAGGCTAGGCACTAGTGGCTGCCACCCATAATCCTAGCCACTTGGGAGGCTGAGATCGGGAGGCTCATGTTCAAAGCCAACCCAGGCAAATACTTCGTGAGACCCCATCTCCAAAATAACCAGAGCAAAATAAAATGGAGGTGTGGCTCAAGCAGTAGAGCAGCCCTAAGTTCAAACCCCAGTTCCACCAAAAAAAAAGAAGAAGAAGAAGAAAGAGTGAGAAAACAGGACATGTGTGAAATACTAAACAGGGGACAACATTTACTCACTGGTTTTGCCCACAAGTCTTGCCATCATTTCTTTCCTAGTAGTTTGTTAGGATTTGTTAACAAAACCTTCCTGACACAAACTATAGACACATTTCTTATTCATTCAAAAAGTCTAGATTTGGGCTCTCAGAGCTCTGGTTCAACACCCAATTTTCCTGCTTTCCCCTTATTGTTACAGAATGGCTGTGTGGGTCCAGGCATCACATCCTCACTGCATTGTATCCACAGAAAAGACGTGGGGATCCAAGGCAACAACAATGAACTTTCCTCTTCTGTTTCTCCTTCTGCTAAAAGTCAGGAAGCAAAATCTTTTACAGAAGCTCCACAGCAGATGTTCTGTAGGGTCTCATGTGCTACAGCTGAGTCACATGGTCACTTAAACATCAGGAGGCCAGATAAACAGTCTAGCATGTTTATTCTCCACAAAGAGATTAGCTGTTGGACATTCATATTGTGATAATTAACAGGCACCGCCTCTTTTAGTTTCAGCTCCAGAGTTTGTTTTTGAACACGGCTATCAAACTTACCTACCCACAGACAGCAGTGAAAACCAGACAGCCACCGTCATCTCTCTCCCCGCCAAGCCACGCACCAAAAAGCCCACGACACCCCCTGCTCAGAAAAGGCTAAACTGTTGCTATCCAGGTAAGGGCAGCATTGTGTCCTGGTGGGCAGAGGAAGTGGCATTTGTCCAGCTCCCAGGGCTTGTCCTCATGGATTCTTGATAAACGGGTGTGACTGTGCTCCAGGCCACCTGCACAGAAGTCAGAGCCCCGCAGGCCTGGCATGGGCACGGCACACTGGCTCCCAGACCGCTAGTCACGAACTTTTGCAAAGGAACTCGTGAAACACACATTGCTGTTGTCTCTTCCTGTGCTGTGGCTTCAGAGGGCATCAGAGAGATTTCTTTCTCATTTTTTTGGAAATAATTTCAAGCTTGCAGAAAAGTTGCAAAAATAGTGGAAAAAAAAAGTCCCTGTGTACCTTTCCTCTCTATTCCCACAAAGTTCACATCTTACCCCATTGGCTTTGGCATTCTTTCTAGGTATCCATATTTTCCCCCAAAACCACATACGAGTAGTTTGCAGGCAAGATGGCCCTCTGCCCCTAAATACCTCAGTGGTCACGTCCTAGAGACAGGACGTCATTTCTGTAGCTACAGGACAATCATAAAATCAGGAAAGTGACATTTATATCTACTACTTATTTTCACACCTGCTGAGCTGGTTTGGCTTCCACCAATCTTCCCTCCAGTGTCCCCTCCTTCAAAGGAGAGACATGTCCCCTCCTTGGCCCAGGGTCTAACCCATGACCACACGTCACATTGGGTTCTTATGTGTCTTTAGTTTCCTGTGATCAAGAACAGATAAGCTTTTGTCTTTTGTGAGCTTGACATTTTTGAAGAGTACAGACCAATCATTTTAGGGTTTTTGTTTGTTTGTTTTGGTGGGACTGGGATTTGAACTGAGGGCTTCACACTTGCAAACCAGGCAGTCTACTGCTTGAGCCACACCTCCAGTCCATTTTGTTCTGGTTATTTTGGAGATTGGGGGAGGGGTTTCACAAATTTGCCCAGGCTGGCCTCAAATCAAAATCCTCTTGATCTCAGCCTCCCAAAGTAGCTAAGATTACAGACGTGAGCCTCATCCATGCAGATGGATCTGGCTGACGTCGAGTTACATGGAGGTTATGGAGCCTGGGGAGACACAGAAGTGATGCTGTGTCCTTTGGCATATCAACCAGGGGGCGTGTCCTCTGTGTCCTTACTGAGTTAACTTTCGTCACTTGGATGAGGACGTTCTGCCAGTTTCTCCACTCTAAAGCTCCTCCACTTCCCTTTGTAATCCTTCCTTGGTTTTTTTTCAGGTTGCCAATTCAAGACAGCCTATGGCATGAAAGACATGGAGCGTCACTTAAAAATCCACACTGGTAGGTGGCGAGTCCTCAGCCAGCCTGCCCCAAACACCTGCCCACCTGTGCCAGGAGCTGGGGACCCAGGGAAGTCGGGCACATGATAGGACTCCAAACCTCATGGCGGTCACCAGTTTACAATATAGATTAAATGAAAGCGAGACACTACTTTTACACGTGATTTGACAGAACGAGAGTAAAGGCAGTAGAAAGGCATCAGTGGGGGTGAGGGCGTGAGCTGCTCAGCCATCCTCAGAACTAACCTGCCAAGGTCAATTGCAATTCCAACACACACACTATTCTCATTTGATAAATGTGTGTGTTTGTGATAACGAGAAAAGAGAAGGGAAGCAATAGTAATTTTTATGTTCTGTTGTGGTTTGAACTCGGGGCCTTGTGCTTGCTAGGCAGGTGCTCTCTCACTTGAGCCACACTCCCAGTCCATTTTTGCTTTAGTTATTTTTCAAATAGGGTTTCTTATTTTTTATTTTTATTTTTGTTTTCTGCCAAGGCCCAGCCTTGGACCACAGTCCTCCTACCTTTGACTCCCAAGGAGCTGGGATTATAGATGTGAACCACACACAACTTCTTTGTTGAGATGGTGTCTTGCTAACTTTTTTGCCCAGTCTGGCCTCGAACCTCGATCCTTCCAATCTCCACTGGGATTACAGACATGAGCCACCATGCCCAGCTCCTTTTAGGCGACAAGTACTAGATGCTTCTCTTCAAAGAGTGTAAATGTGTATCCACCGAGGCCACTCTGAAATGTGACTGGTCCCACTAGTTGTCCTACATCTGCTGTTCAGCCTCAGCCTTTGGCAGATCAACGAGCTAACGGTTGTTACTTATATTCCTTGGTCATGACCAACGAGGGGCTTGTTGCAATGGGGTCACCATCAGATCTAACCATCCTCACCATGTCGTGTCACTTGGACTTATTCTGATTGTCCAAATAATTGAGTTCCATGTGTTGCCAGCATTTTACTGTAAAGTACTGTCACTATCAGTGACTACTGGGAAAGTATTGAAAAACATAAAGGAGGGCTGTGACTTCAGATCTGTTCCTCGAGCTTCAGGAAGCATCCCATGAGGTAGCCAGATGGCGTTTAGAAGAGCAACAACATGAGCACCTGCAGGCCAGACGGTGACTCCAAGGCATCCTGTGTTACTCTCAGAGAGGCCAGTGTGCTTAACAGCCCTGGGGCTGGGGAGTGGCCAGAGCCCCAGCAGATCTCTGCCCTAGACTCAGACATGACCATGGGAATACTGGGCAGCTGACGGTGTTGAGAAGTTATTGTTTCTGGATCTTTATATTTGGTTGCTAAAATTTTTTTAAATAAAATGATTGTCTTGGACTAGGGGCATGGCTCAAGTGTTTGAGAGTCTGCCTAGCAAGCGTGAGGCCCTGAGTTCAAACCCTAGTACTGCCAAAAAATAAAGTAAAACGATTGCCTTAAATCAGGCATGGTGGCTTATGCCTATAATCCCATTTAGTCAGGAAATGGAGGAAGGAGGATCATAAGTTCAAGGCCAGCCTGGACAATTAGTAAGACCCTATCTCAAAAATAACACATACACAAAAAAAAGAGTGCGGGCATAGCTCAAAAGGTAGCACACTTGCTATGCCCTGAGTTCAATCCCCAATGCCACCAAAAAAAAGTCACATGTTTATTCTAAGATGATAGTGACCAGCTTTGGCTGGCAACCCATTTCCTTGCCTGGCTGTGTAGGATTTGGCCAAAATACACATTTGACATGTAAAGTGAACATCCCTACTCACAGTCTACCCCTTTCTAATCATGTAATCCCGTGTCCCAGAGTCACCTGCTTTACTAGTCCACTGTATGTCATTCTCAGTCTTTTTGGATGCCTATAAGGCCTGCAACACTCACAATTAATCCTGCCCTCTCTTATTAAGCTAATGCCACAGGCCACCTTGAATGTCATACGCTGGCATACGTTAGTGTGACTTGTAGGGAATTGAATCAGTAATTCATGGTACATCCATACAGTAAAACACTTCAGCCTTCAGATCACATGCTAGATGTTTATGACATGAAGAAGATGATCAGAATTACTTTAAGAGCAAGAAAGTAATCAACAGGGAAGATGTGGAGTGTCTGGCTAAACAAGCAAGGTAGTCCTGGGATCAGGCCCAGTTGTTAAGAGGATGAAATAATTCAAAGGCACAGTGCTATTCAAAGGTAAGCATTTAGGTTGATGTTAGTCAAGAAGGCTTTTGTGCCAAAAGGAGTACACATGCACATATATGCAGGTACACACACACACAAAAAAAAAGAAAACACAGGTGGGTGCCTATGGCTCCCACCTATAATCCTAGCTACTCAGGAGGCAGAGATCAGAAGGATGGCAGTTTGAAGCCAGCCCGGGCAAATAGTTCTCAAGACCCTATCTCGAAAATACCCAACACAAAAAAAGGGCTAGCAGAGTGGCTCAATTGGTAGAGCGCCTTCTAGCAATCATGAGACCCTGAGTTCAAACCCCAGTACCACTGAAGGAAGGAAAAAAAAATTGGAGCTCCGTGGTAGAGTGTGGGAGGCTTGGCTAATGTGTGTGAGGCCCTGGGTTCCATCCCCAGCACCACAAAAACAAAAACAAGAGGAAAAGTAGACAGTTGCTCACAGGGTGACATGCATCAGTGAGGTTCAGTTTAAGTTACTGTAACAAAGCGTAAACCCCAGTCTAAACAGTTAGGTGTGTCTGTCACCTGACTGCCTAGGTAATGGTTGGCCTCAGGCAGATAGGCAGCTCTGGCCCCGGAAGTGTCCAGGAATCTGGGTCCTTCGATCGTTGTGGTCTCTGTCGTATCAGTCCTCTGCCTGCTGCTGCCCACACTGCTGGCACCTCTGTGTTTTAATTACAGTGGGCAAGGAAGGAGGGAAAGAGGAAAAGAGAAAGAAAAAGCAAGCTCTTTTTTTTTTGAGATAGAGTCTCCCTAGGTAGCCTGGTAGCCCAGGCTGGCCTAGAACTAAAGATCCTCCTCCTGCCTCAGCCTCCCATGTGCCCTACTACACCCAGCTAAACAGTTTCCTGTTCTGAAACTTTATTTTCTCTGCCACTGCTTTGACAAAACCTTCATCCTACAACCACACCCAGCTGCAACTAAGTCTGGAAAAAGTCGTCTGCAGCTGGTCACCCTGAACTCTGCTAAAACTTGCAGTTTTAAACTGTTTTTTTTGTTGTTGTTGTTGTTGTTTGGCAGTACTGGGGTTTGAACTCAGGGCTTTACACTTGCTAGGCAGGTGCTCTACCAACTTGAGACACTCTGCCAGCCCTGTTTTGTGCTGGGTATTTTTGAGATAGGGTCTCATGAACTATTTGCCTGGGCTGGCTTCAAACTGCCATCCTCCTGATCTCTGCCTCCAGAGTAGCTGGGGTTACAGGCGTGAGCCACCAGCTTGGGCTGCGGCTTTTTTTTTATATATATTTCAATTTTTATTTTTCTTTAAAAGGAGTGAGTTGTGTTCAGAAGAGTTAAATGCTTTAAAGACAAGAAGAAACTGTGCTGGACCCAACTTATTTATCATCCAGCTGGGATTTTAAATTTTCTGGCCTCTCTGTGTAAAAGGAAAAGGGGATTGGAGCCCAGGAGACAACTGTTCCTTACTGTACAGAGCTATGTACTTTAAACTCTTGGTTTAATTGCTTTCTATTTTTAATTAACAAGGAGTTCATGGCTGGAGGCAATGGCTCAAACGGTGGAGCACTTGCCTAGCAAATATGACCCAATAACACCCCAAAAAACTAATAATAATAATAAACTCAAATGACCCAAGCGTTGTATGCACATATGAATAATAAAACAATAAATAATAATAATAAATTCATAGTCATCCTAGAGAAAGATTAGAAAATTCCAATATGCAAAACAGAAGAAGGGGCCCCTCCCCTGTGATGCTGGCGCCTGTGGGGGTTTCTAAACGTCCCTTGGTGGGTGCGTGCCTCTTTTTCTCCCAAGTGATGGGAAATAAGCCGTTTCCTTTTCATCTTGTTTCCCGCTGCCATCGTGTGCACGTGAAGGAGACAAACCGCATAAGTGTGAAATCTGTGGCAAGTGCTTCAGCCGCAAGGACAAGCTGAAGACCCACATGCGGTGCCACACGGGCGCAAAGCCCTACAAGTGCAAGACGTGCGACTATGCGGCCGCGGACAGCAGCAGCCTCAACAAGCACCTGCGGATCCACTCGGACGAGCGTCCCTTCAAGTGCCAGCTCTGCCCCTACGCCAGCCGCAACTCCAGCCAGCTCACTGTGCACCTGCGCTCCCACACGGGTAAGTGTGCCCGCCGCTCGGCCTGGCCACCTGTCCTCACAGCGGTGCCTTAGAGCTGCAAGTAAGGAGGAGCCGGTCCGTGTGTGTGTGTGTGTGTGTGTGTGTGTGTGTCATGGACGTGTGATACAGACAGCTAAAGAGCCGTAAGTTATTCGCTGATAGACTTTGTAACGGAGAAAGTGCAGGGCACAAAATGGAGATATCCTTCACAGACGTCTGCATTAGTCAGGCATGTCAGCGAGTTTCCAAGTGTACTCTGATTTGTTCCAGGTGGGACAGCTTGATCAAAAAACACACAAAAAGGGCTGGGGATGTAGCTCAGCAGTAGCATACATAAGGCCCTGGGTTGGATCCCCAGCACTGCGAAGTATACATGCACACATCCCAAAGTCAGTCTTCTGGCATATGTATCGGTTAGCTGATACACTATGTAACGACCATTGCCCATCTCACTGGTTGTAACGAGTACTTACTGCTCACACACTTCAAGTCAGCAGGGCATGGCTGCGGATGGTAGCTCAGCCTAATCACATGTGTGGGGAAGTTTGGGCATCCACTGGCCTTGTCTGGGGTGACCTGGCACTGCTTCTGGGACCATGGGTTGGCCCAGGCTCAGCCTTCTTGTGACCATGACAAAGGTACAAGCAAGCAAGTCTTTTTTTTATTATTATTATTGTTTTATTATTCATATGTGCATACAAGGCTTGGGTCATTTCTCCCCCCTGCCCCCACCCCCTCCCTTACCACCCACTCCGCCCCCTCCCTCTCCCCCCCACCCCCTCTATACCCAGCAGAAACTATTTTGCCCTTATCTCTAATTTTGTTGTAGAGAGAGTATAAGCAATAATAGGAAGGAACAAGGGTTTTTGCTAGTTGAGATACGGATAGCTATACAGGGCATTGACTTACATTGATTTCCTGTGCGTGGGTGTTACCTTCTAGGTTAATTCTTTTTGATCTCACCTTTTCTCTAGTACCTGTTCCCCTTTTCCTATTGGCCTCAGTTGCTTTTAAGGTATCTGCTTTAGTTTCTCTGCGTTAAGGGCAACAAATGCTAGCTAGTTTTTTAGGTGTCTTACCTATCCTCACCCCTCCCTTGTGTGCTCTCGCTTTTATCATGCAAGCAAGCAAGTCTTAACGCACAAGCCCTCTTGTGTCTGATTGTACAAGTCTGTAGATACCACATTGGCTTCAGCAAGTCACAGGATTGCTCTGGTGTTTCAGAGGGAACTGAGCTCACCCACAGTGACAAGTCACCAGGTTATGTGGCAAAGGTCAGGGACGTGAGGAGGATGAAGAATCGTGAGCATTTTTGCAAACAGTCACAGTCCAGCTTTCTCCCTGCCGTCACTCACCTCTCTCTGATAAGCAAAATACATTGATGCTCTCCTGAGACCCCCCCCACAAATCTCACCCAATCATAAGATTGGACTTAAAGACAGGACTGTGTGACCTCCGTGGGGTCAGGATGTGGTGCTTTTCATCCAGCGACAATTGAAGTAAAAAGAAGTCTGGGGCCCAGGCATGGTGGCTCACACCTATAATCCCAGCTACTCAGGAGGTAGAGATTGGGAGGATGGCAGTTCAAGGTCAGCCTGGGCAAAAAGTTAGTGAGACCCCATCTCAACAAATGTACTGGGCGTGGTGCTATGCACCTGTGATTCCAGCTATGGAGTGGGCATAGGAAAAGGATCAAGATCCAAGACTGACCCCAGGTAAAAACACAAGACCCTATCGGAAAAATAACTAAAGCAAAAACAGACTGGGGGTATGGCTCAAGTGGTAGAGCACCTGCCTGGTGAACTTGAGGCCCTGAGTTCAAACCCCAGTACCACCAAAAACAAGTGTGGAATGGTGAAACTGCTCAGGATATTATGACCACCCGCCCTTTGGAAGGGAGGAATGGGAGGCCCCTAGTAGTCACTGGTCTGTAAAGTCCCTGTGGGCCTGTGATCTCTGGTGCCCCTGCTCAGGGCACAGGGAAGTTTCTTGATTAGGCTTTGAGTTGGTTCCTCAATTTTTGACTCTGCCCATTTGGAACATTCTTTCATCACCTTCCTTACCCACTCCTGAAAAAAGCTGGGAGCACTTTTCTCTGCCTGCTTCCTTTGCCTAAGCAAAGGGGGTCTTTTCACATTTTATTTTCGTCTAGGCTGCTGAAGATGTTGTTGGTAGAGCTATCTTTATAATTTTGTGGGTTTCGTACGTATCTACAAGCCACACAATTCCTTTGAAGTCCTCTCTCGTTCTAAACTCGACTGTAGGTGCTTTCTTCCTCTAACAGAACATGAGCACTAGGAGAACCTACTTGACCTGGCTGAATTCCTTGGAGGTTCTGAAGTCTTGCCTTGAGGTTCCCCTAGTTCTCACAAGGTCTTCGCTGGGAGATCAGGTCCCTGGACACCTGACCTCTGGTCATCTGACTTTAGAGAGCTGGCTGGAGAAGAGCAGCTGTACCCAGGAAACCCTCCACTTTCTGTTCTCAATTCTGCTTGGAAAAGGGCCGGTTCCTTTATAAGTTTTTCTTTCTCGTAGTATCGAATCATATGCAGCTTGTAAACCCAGCTCACTGTTCTGCTGGAATCCATCTCTTTACTCAAGTCCAAACTCATGCATTTTCTCTCTTCCAAGTTTCTGCAAGTGACAGTTTTGCCAGATATCTGTCATTTGACATTAAATGTGAATTGCTGATTTTTCCTCTTGTACCGGCCACGCCATCCCAAAACCATTGCTGCATACTTTAGTTCTGTGCTTTGGTGGTGCTGACCTCCGTATCACGACTGTCACAGTGATGAGGCATAATAAAAAACCCATGAACAAACTGGTGATCATCTCAGTGCCTCTGTGACCTTGACTGTACTCACAAGCCTGAGAGTCTGTGCCAGCCTGGGCAGCTCTGCACTGCGTGTCCGTCGTCCTTTTCCTGGGACCAAGTTGCCTAGGCCAGGAGTGGCCTTCTCAGGGCCATGACCAAGGGACAAGCAAGCAAGCAAACTCCATTAAAAAGGCCATTTTTAGCCATCGTGTGTCAAATCACAAATGACAACAGCCAAATCCAGTGGTGGAGCCTATGGTTGTGGGTCATGGTGGGTCATCCTACCCTTGTTAGGAGGCAGAGAAGGGATGGAGGGGGGTTTGGGGACATTGGTGTAGTCTACTTCAGCAAGGTAAGACCCCGGCATAACTGATGCTCAGTGGATTTTCCTCAGCGGTCTCCCCCGTAGCTGAGCTCAGGTTCATTTATGAAAATGGTTCATCATGACTGATGCAGATGAACTTCGCACGTATAGTACTGTCTAAACTGCTCTAGGAAAGACGTGTGCTCTAAAAATTTAGATGTGTGCCACTGCTGTGTCTCCATGGACTGTTCACTCTCTTTTATAAGTCTGTGATGCTTGTAAAATTTTAAATTAATAGGATTCTGTTTTTACTTTTCAGTTGATATCCTACATCATCACTCATTTTAATAGCAACTGAAACTGCAGAAAGATCTGTCAGCTCACATATGTCAGTCCTTTATTCAGTCAACATCCCCCGAGCTGCACTGTGTGACAAACACTGGGGATCAGGTGGGGGTAGGAACAAACAGTCCGTGGCCTTTGAAGAGCTGGCAGTTCTGGGGGGAATACTTCAACCAGTACACCTCATTTACGAAAAAATTTATGAGCCAGGCACAGTGGTGCACGCCTGTCATCCCAGCTACACAGGAGGCTGAGATCCCGAGGATTGCATTTGTAGGCCAGCCCAAGCAAAGATGTTCACAAGACCCCATCTTCATGGAAAAAAGCTGGGGGCAGGGGGTGCATCTGTCGTCTCAGCTATGGGAGGAACCATAAAATACGAGGCTGATGTTCCAGACCAGCCTGGACAATAGTTCATGAGACCCCATCTCCAAAATAACCAGAGCAAAAAGGGCTAGAGGTGTGGCTCAAGTGGCAGGGTGCCTGCTTTGCAAGAGAGAAGCCCGGAGTTCAAACCCCAGTCCCACAAAGAAGAGTAGAATAGAATAGAACAAGTAAATTTATGGTTTAAAAAGAAAAATACAGTCTAAAAGGAAAAAATTAGACCTTTCGCTTTAGTGTCAGAAATGTAGTTAAGCCCTGCAACTGAGCAGTGAGATCTGATTATCTGATTTTTCTGGATTTTACCTCTGATGGTTGCTAAAAAGAAATGAAGTGACTGTCACTGTACTTCAGGCAGGGATCTGACAAGAAAACTTAGAAGAACACTCTAAACCTGATTCTCACTCTGGGACCACACATATCCATGAATAAAATGTAGGAGGTAAGGAGTCTTTGCTCCCATTTCCCATGTGGGGAAAAGGAAATGTTTCTCTTTTTCTCCCCACCCCCTTGTCTGTGCTTTATCCTGTTATACTAAAAGAAATCCTCGCTAAAACTTAAACAAAAAAAAAGAAAAAGAAAAAATTAAAAGGTAGTGAACTTGACTGGGATAAAACAAAACTGTACTGAAAATTGGCACATCCTTCAATTTCAAAAATAGGCAATTGATCTTATAATGTAGTGTGAGAACTTGTCGCCAGCAGAAATAGCAGGTGTTTTCATAACAATTGTTGTAACTAGATTAAAATAGCTTTCACATTTAGAAATTTCTGTAGTTACAGGACTCGCTGCTAGCCCTTCTTTTTTTGCGGTACTAGGGCTTGAACTCAGAGCCTGCACCTTGAGCCACTTCACCAGCCCTTTTTGTGTTGGGTTTTTTTTAGATAGGGTCTCACAAACTATTTCCCTGAGGCTGGCTTCGAACCTCAATCCTCCTAATCTCTGCCTCCTGAGTAGCTGGGATTACAGACGTGAGCCGCATGTACCTGGCCCTGCTGCTAGCTCTTGTAGGTCATCTAATACACTGATAAAACACACATACTGCCATATTACAGATTTTTTTCTTTTAATATTTCAGTAGCTATTTCAATATAATTGGTTTCTTTTGTATTCCTATTGTCTTTTAGTTTATTTTTGTGCGTTTAAAACATTATTCTTGTAGAGGTTCCACTAAACTGCCAGAAGGGGGCGATAGCACACAAAAGGCTAAGCATAACATTCTAGGGGTTGGGAACACTTGGGAGGCCCTGGGTTTGGTTTC